CGATTGGGCATATTCCCGGTCTGACAATTTTGGGCATTTGGAAAAAAGATTCGGACAAGTTCGGAATATACAGGCAAAATCCCATCACTGGTGTGTATTGTTTTTATTGAATAGGGTAAACTCCTAGCCGATAAAATTTAAGATTTTTATCAATATAAAAACAACCAGTTTGGGAAAAAACTGAAGAATTCCGATTGTCTGATGAAGAAATCTGAATACCTGACGCATGCACAGATGTCACAAAACGCCAGATATAGACATCGCTTTATTTACATTTGGCAAGGAAGGAAAATAATCAAAAGAATTTCCATTTTTTGTCATAATTAAGGTCTTGATTTTGCGTAGAGGAAATCATGTTATTCAGTAACAATAAGCGAAAAAATGTTACACGCATTTACTTTCGTGTGACATATTTTGCAACACGCAGTCTACAAAATCAACACGCATTTTGCATGTTTGCGTCTGTGAAATTCGATCCCTGCATAGGTCATTCTCGACAATTTTGAAAGAAAAAGTAGGTTATTTTTTTCTCTAAAAAATAATAAAGTATTTTAAGTATTTTAAGTTTTTATTGTGTTAGTTTTGGTTTATCAACAATATTTTATATGTTACAGAAGGTTGAATATTGAAGGGGTTTTGGCTAAGCAGCCATAACCTAATTCGATAATAAAAAAATCGGTTAAAATTTAAAAACTATAGCCTGTATCGCGTTGACAATGTTTACGGAATAGGACGATGGTCATCAAATTCAAACCAATCCAGGATCTTTCGATCCCTAACACATATTTTAAGTTTCATCTAAAATTGGGCCGATATAGATGCGCATACCAGGCCCCATGTTCACAAAGCATTCTCAGACTTAAGTTGAGAATTTACTCAAACTTGTTCGCCTTATTTTGACTAAAATATAGTCCTTTATAACAATTTTATTGTTTTAATGTATCAGATATATCAATAAGAAACTATGTGTAAAGTTTTGTGTTTCTGGATCAAAGATATTTCTCATAAACAGTAATTTCTCATAAACAGCAAATTCTCAACTTAAGTCTGAGAATGCTTTGTGAACTCGGGGCCAAATCCGTCAACCTTCAATGCATAAGTGTCATCTAAAAATTGGTATAACATGCTTTGCCATTGCATGTATTTGCGTAAAGGGGCAGAGCAATTTTAACGGGAAGTTACGGACCGATTTCCTCCAAAATCGAAATCATTAGTGATTGTTGTGTATTAAACATATATAGCTATTCAGAATTATGATCTCTTCGGGGCGCACAAGCTATGTACGCGATTTTCGTTCAACCAGGGGCTAAAATCCAGGAAATTACGGTCCAATATGTGCCAAAATTGAACTTATTCGAGTTCTTTCGGATATAAAATACAATTTTAGTTTTAAAAGAAATTGAATAAAAATTGTGACCAGGAGCTATAATCCCAAATGTCATTGTGAGATAAGTGCCAAAATCGAACCCATCCCTGAACTTTGGGATATCGACATATATTTTAAGTTTCATCAAAGTCGGATAACAAATTGTGATCTGTAGACACATGCACGGACAAGGGTGGTGACATAATACGTGAACATGAAAATATGAGTGGATGGAAACTCTTGAAAGCATAATATTAGTTTATACTATCCTATGGAAACGCTGGCTTGCTAGCCTGGAGAACGGGTGTTCATCCATATTTTCTGCCGGGGTTCCCCCATGTCAGTGATGCAGGACGGAGGGACTGACAAGGACAGCTATCTAGTCGTTCGGATGGTCCCGTGTACACATTGGTGTGCACATAAAATATCCCTTGACAGTTGAAATTCGATATAAGAGTAGGCCGTAGTGCCGCTGTCCGAGCAAAATTTCCCTCATAGCGCACCGTCCGTCTTCATTAGCCCAGTTCGGAGCAGAACAGTAGGACGTTAAAAACCATTTCATTTCATTTGGAAACATTAAAATATAAGAGGGGAAGGGTGTTGACAATTACCCCGGAACCCCTCAACGGGAGCATGCTATGGGACTTTGAGAGGGTGTAAACAATGTAGATATATACCAATTTTAAATTCGTTTAGTTATGACACCAAACTATAGAATGGGATCAATAAGGGCAGTGAATCGTTCGCCCAAACCCCAAAAGTCCTCCTACCTCCTAACACAAAACCAGTCATTTGGAAATGAAATAAAGTTTAACATCCTGCGGTTATGCACTGACTGTGCTAATGAACACGGGCATACGTCATGAAGTGTGCAATTTCTGGGGATTTTGTACGGACAGGGGCGCTATGGCCTACTCTTGGTGCATGCCATCGCTTTTTCGTCCCATTAAGACACTGTTCCTTATCAGGCACTGACAGGTGGAAAGCAGGCCGGAAAACCTGAGGAATTTTCTCATCCAACGCTGGGAGCGTACCCGGAGCCTCCTAGTTACCAAGCCAGTGACTTACTCACCAAGACATCGCAGCTCCAGATGATTTGGAAGTCTGGCCCCGATATAGATTACTTCAATGATGTCATAAATACTTTATTTGTGTGCGTAAAATATTTCATAATTTTGAAGGGAAGAGATAAGCTTAACTAAGCATGACAGATTTATATTTATGTATTCACTTTCATGCATGAGGTAATGAGTTTTCTATTAGAAAACAAATACACCAAAACAATCGATAGTGCATTATTTGTGAAAATGCACGATAAAATAGCCTATTTATTTATCAAAAAAAAAATATATCTGGAATAGTTTGCTTTTGTACGTAAAATATTTTTTATTATCTTTGACAGAAAAATGTCGTCATGTCTGTCGGGTCAATTTTACATGTTCCCAATGAGCCACCATACAATTGTAAACAGCGCCATCTGTTACCAAAATAAGCTTAGAATTATGGCGTCTTTACTGCGAAACATTTGTAAAATGTCAAAATGTTAACGAAGATAAACTGCCTACAATAAATAACCAGCGGCTGCCAGGCAGGATACGCCCACATTTTCGAGAGATGGATAGAAAACAAGCTTTGGAAGTCTGGCCCCGATATAGATTACTTCAATGATGTCATAAATACTTTATTTGTGTGCGTAAAATATTTCATAATTTTGAGGGGAAGAGATAAGCTTAACTAAGCATGACCGATTTGTATTTATGTATTCACTTTCATGCATGAGGTAATGAGTTTTCTATTAGAAAACAAATACACCAAAACAATCGATAGTGCATTATTTGTGAAAATGCACGATAAAATAGCCTATTTATTTATCAGAAAAAAAAATATATTTGGAATAGTTTGCTTTTGTACGTAAAATATTTTTTATTATCTTTGACAGAAAAATGTCGTCATGTCTGTCGGGTCAATTTTACATGTTCCCACTGAGCCACCATACAATTGTAAACAGCGCCATCTGTTACCAAAATAAGCTTAGAATTATGGCGTCTTTACCGCGAAACATTTGTAAAATGTCAAAATGTTAACGAAGATAAACTGCCTACAATAAATAACCAGCGGCTGCCAGGCAGGATACGCCCACATTTTCGAGAGATGGATAGAAAACAAGCTAAAACGAAAGTGATTTTTCCTAAAATCAAGGGCCATAATTCAGGAAATTACAATTCGATATGCGCAAATATCGAAAGAAACCAAGATCTTTGTGTTATAAACTTACATTTCAAGTTTCAACAAAATCGGATAAAAATTGTGACCTCTATAGGGTCCACAACCTTGATATACAATATTTTTACGCAATTTGAGAACGAGGGTCGGCCATTTTGTCTGTCAGTTTTAAATCGGATAAAAATTATGACCTCTATAGGGTCCACAAGCTAAAAATGCAATTTTTCGTACAATCAGGGGCCATAATTCAGTAAGTTACGGTCCGATATGCGCAAATATCGAAAGGAACCAAGATCTTTGGGTTATAAACTTACATTTCAAGTTTCAACAAATTCGGATAAAAATTGTGATCTCTATAGGGTCCACAACCTTGATATACCATATTTTTTACGCTACTTGAGAACGAAGGGCGGCCATTTTATCTGTCAGTTTTGGGCCGATTTTCACAAAATTTGAACTCAGTCGTCCTTAGGGTGTAATGGTGATAAAATAATACGTTTTTTTAAATCGGATAAAAATGATGACCTCTATTGGGTCCACAAGCCAAAAAACGCATTTTTGCTTACTATCAGGGGCTATAATTCAGGAAGTTACGTTCAGATATGCACGAATATCGAAAGGAACCGAGATCTTTGTGTTATAAGCATACATATCAAGTTTAAACCAAATGGGATAAAAATTGTGACCTCTACAGTGTTCACAAGCCAAAAGCGTGATTTTTCGTACAATCAGGGGCCATAATCCATGAAGTTACGGTCTGATACATGCTAATATCGAAAGGAACCAAGATCTTAGGGTGATAAACCTATATTTCAAGTTTCATTGAAATCGGATAAAAATTGTGACCTGTAGACTGTTCACAAACAATTGTGGACGGACGGACAGATAGGGGCGACGACAATATACGTCCACATGACAATGTGGGCATATAAAAAGTAATAATGGAAATAGAACAAAATACAAATCACAACTGCAATATCTAAACAATAAGTCATATAAATTAGCATTTTTACATGTGTAAATAGCCAATTTAATATGTGTTAGTAAGAAGTTTCATGCATAGAAGTAAGCATATTAGCATACTCATTACTAGGTTAGGAGTTAGAATTATGGGGGAAATTCCGCTTCATAGAAAAGAAGATAAAACAGTGAAAACAGACAATATTAATTATTACTATTCCAACAGTATAATCTAATGAAGACATTTTGCAATTCAACGCTGAAAATAATGTAAACAAAAAAAAAGACGAATTTCTGCCTACTAAATAGCTAACAAGCTAGGAATTAGTTATATGAACTGTACATATATATTTTGGACCATTCTAGATATATTAGATATACTGAAACTTAGCTAAAAGCCACAGACTCAATCGCATTTAAAAATTCTCCAAATTTATTACACATACGGTACCTCTGTATTTTCTTCTTGTACTTTTTCAATTTGTTCTTGTTGCATTTTTTTCAATACTTCTACTTGCCGTGAATGTTTCATTGCTAACCTTTTTCTTTCTTCAATAAATTTCTTCATGTTGTTTTCATTTAATTCTCGTATTCGCCTGAAACATTGGAATATGTCAATAATATGTTATCTGGACTCAGACTAGTAATTATTTCCCATTATTTGATGATGGACAAATGTAGTGCGAGTTATAAATAGACAATTTTTACCTTAATTTTTTTCTACCCTCTTCCTGCATTTTTTGGTTGAATTTTTGGTCTAGAAATTGGAGATATAACAGGGATTGAATACGAACTGGTCTGATTTATCAAACTTAGATCAAGTGATTATAGTACTGTTTTAAACACTCTTACTCATATCTAAGCTGGTACTCAATTCAACATCCCAGAACTGAGTAAACAATAAAGTGGGGGACCCCTCGGGACTACATCTTATCGTTAATGCCATCCGGTGAGAATGTTCTTAAAGTGTGAATCCATTTGAATTCATTGGCTTTCCTTACAGCATCGTTTTTGCCGTTGTCTGGGTCAGTCTTAAAAAGCTCTATAATTTTAATCATAACATTTCTACTCGTATGTCTATCTAAGTTGAAGTGTAGTGCGATCGGCTTTGGCCTGTTGTGTCTAATAGCTGCATAGTGTTCCTTTATTCGTTTTGAAAAGACACGTTTGCTTTCTCCTATGTACGTATTGTTTTTTGGAGGAGCATGTTAATAGGTAGACTATATTTCTACTTAAAAAATTATAGCCTGTGCGGCAAGAATATTTCTTGCCAGTTTTACCACTAATAAAGTAGTTATTTTGGTCTAATTTGTAGCAGATATCACAGTCCTTCTTGATACATTTTTCGAATAGATTTTGAAACGTGACTCCGCTGATTTGCTGGTCCCGTGGTGGATAGATGAATCTTGCTTTCATCAGCGTATCCCTCAAAATAGGATTCCTCCTAAATGCTGTGATTGGTTTGATGTTTGAGATGGAACGGCACATGTCCGATCCGGTTAATAGCTGCCATTTCTCTTTTATGAGCATGCTAACTTGAACAGCAGTTGGATTATAATCCATGATAAAAACGAGCAACTTTCGTTTTTTCAAAATGGTAAACCGTAGTCGGGCTTAACAGGTCTTTTCTGACTAGAGAATTTGCCCTGTTCTTATTTTCCGACACTACTTTGTGTGGGTAGCCTCTTTTATGACAAAAATTGAGAAGATTTTGGCTATGGCTTTCATAGTTTATTTCTAAGCAACATATTGTTGTATGTAGTAAAGCCGGAGTTAATTCTCAGCCTAAACTGTCTCGGTATCATTTGTTTATCCAGGCACGCCTGGTGGTAGTCTATTTGAATACCCAGGCGGCTAATTTTACTGCTCAAGTTTCGGAGTGTTTTGTACTCCGGTGTTCTGCTAAGGGCAGAACAAGCACTTTCTGATTGGCGGACTTTGCTCCGGTTTGATTTTCGGAGCTTAAGTCTACCCTGAGTCTTTTTGGTACGGAGTGAACTTCCCCAATTGTGATGTTAGACTCGGAATAAAGGATCTCATTTGAAATCACTGATTTTTAAAAAATTCATAGCTTGGAATAGGTTGTTCCGCAGTTGGGTTGAAGTAAAAAATCTGTAAATAGGCGAACAGCCTTCCCAGATTTCTCTCAGCTACTAGTTTCGTTCTTATTTGAACTCTTCAGGCTTAAATGAGGATATCTTTGGCACCGGAGTCGATTATTCCGAAAAGTGTGCAAAGATATTCGGCTAAGAATTTGCCGTCATGATTATGCTTATTTGCATTGACTCAACCTCCTAACCCTTTTGATCTCTAAGTTTAAAGTTTCCTAAACTAACGAGGGCTTAAAAATAACTCTATTAGGTTATGGGCGTGTATGCACTAATTTCTTATTAGCTTTCGCCGTAGGGGTACCACGGCTAAATTAATTGGGAACTCGTCCTTGTTTTTCATATTCGGCCTTGAGTTAGGCTAAGAATTATGCTGCTATTTCGCATACTTTGAAAAGTGGCTCTAGGAAAATATTTCTTGAATTCAACATGGAGCTCACGAGGTTGTTTTTGCTTTTCTCAATTGTAACGTTGTAAAAATACCCAGTCTTCTTTACTGATGTTTGATTCTGCCAAATCATCGCGATACGATGTGCGACAAACTGGCCAGGCCTCTAGTTCGAGACAAAGATCAACTCCTTCACAAAAAGCCTCCCAGTTACTCATGGTTGGAAAGGTACAGGACAAGGCGATCTGCCATATTTTTTATCCGTTGTTTCGGAGACATTGTTCCTAATTAATTTAGCCGTGGTACCCCTACGGCGAAAGCTAATAAAAAATTAGTGCATACACGCCCATAACCTAATAGAGTTATTTTTAAGCCCTCGTTAGTTTAGGAAACTTTAAACTTAGAGATCAAAAGGGTTAGGAGCCTTGAGTCAATGCAAATAAGCATAATCATGACGGGAAATTCTTAGCCAAATATCTTTGCACACTTTTCGGAATAATCGACTCCGGTGCCAAAGATCGACTCCGGTCCATCTGTGACATCACATGTGCTCCGGTGCCCACTGACACTATATATAGAGGGCCACCGCACATCCTAATTTAAGCCTGAAGAGTTCGAATAAGAACGAAACTAGTAGCTGAGAGAAATCTGGGAAGGCTGTTCGCCTATTTACAGATTTTTTAATCCCAGAACTGAATTTTCAAATTCTCTTAATCTCTCAAAAGATGTCAATTGAGTAAACTTGAAAATTTCAAGTGACAAGAAAGGGGCCAACCAATGCCTGCCTGTAACTGAAACATTTGATTGTACTTTCTGCTCACACTACAACTGTTTTTGAGATACTGGAATTTTATTTCAGCCATTTTCTAAATATTACATCAGTTTTAGAAAAGTTTGAGTAATAATGAACTACCTTCATAGTAAATAGTTAACAGAAATACCTGTCTCTTTCTGTTTTATATTTAACAGATTTATCATTTAATACAGCTTTACTAGAATCCATAGAATGTTTAGCTTGATTTCCTTTTAATTCTTTATTCTCTCTATAATAAACAAACCAACATGTTTAATTTCTTGTACCAACATGATATACAATTTGTATACAGCAATTCAATGATTATATCCATCAAAAATTCTTTCATTTTCATGTCTTATACTGGGCTAATGAAGACAGGCATAAACCACATAGTGTTCTATTAGGGAGATTTTACCTGGACAGCTATGCCAACTGTAAAGTGTTCTTTTACTTGCACATCTACATGTACATAGGACCTTGGCTGTTTGCCCCATTCGAACAACTAGACACTGTTCTTTGTCCATCACCGCAGACTTGCTTTAAAATCATGGGGAATTTTCTCTCCCAACATTGTGATCGAACCCCAGATCTCCTGGTAAGTAATGGCTAGTGAGCCAGTGTCTTAACCAATGAGCCACCGTGGCCCCGAGACTGGTGATGGTATGTGTATTAATCATGAAATTTAAAACTTTACTAGTGTAAAGCGATTACCTGTCTTGTCGAGCCTCCAACTCTTTTAACTGTTCTAAATGTGCATCTTCAAGTAAACGAACAAGGAGATCATTTTGTTGTCGTATATGTTCAAAACGTAGATCATGTTCTTCTCGTATATGACGTACCAACATTTCAGACCATTCTTTAGTTTGATCAGCCACCAGACCTTTTACCTAAAATATATCAATACAATAGATTTGGATACTTTACAACAAGATTAAAATTAAAATCATTCTTTCTATTCATAACAATAAATTGACCTTGCCATATATAATCTCTTTTAATATGACAATGGTATAAAACAGGGCTTCCACTTCAAAATTTTCCCAGCTTGTCATTTTTCACACGGTGAAAGTGGTGTTATTTTTAGCACATAATAACCAGCGCCTGCCAGGCAGGATACGTCCACATTTTGCAAGAGAAAGATAGACAACAAGCTAAAACCAAAAACGATTTTTTGAACATTCAGGATCCATAATCCAGAAAGTTATGGTCCGAAATGCGCAAATATCAAAAGGGACTGAGATTTTTTTAAATATAAAGATGTGTTTAAAGATTTATCAAAATCGGATAAAAATTGTGACCTCTAGAGGGTCCATAACCTTTGTATTACATACTTACACACAATTTGCATACAAAGAACGGCCATTTTGTCGGGCAGTTTCATTTTGATCTTCCCAAAATTCCACTTCAACCTTCATTATGGTGGAATGGTGATATATCTAAACGGTTTTTAAAATCGGAAAAAAAATTGTGACCTCTAGAGAATCCACAAGCTAAAAATGCGATTTTTCGACCAATAATAATAATAATAAAAACTTTATTTAATGAGGCAACCAGACGCCATAATCCAGGAATTTACGTTCGGATATGTGTGATTATCAAAAAGAACCAAGATCTTTAGGATAAAAACATATATTTAAATTTCATCCAAATTGGTTAAAAATTGTGACCTCTAGAGAATCCACAAGCTAAAAATGCGATTTTTCGACCAATCAGACGCCATAATCCAGGAATTTACGTTCGGATATGTGTGATTATCAAAAAGAACCAAGATCTTTAGGATAAAAACATATATTTAAATTTCATCGAAATTGGTTAAAAACTGTGGCCTCTAGAGGGCCCATCAACTTTGATATACCATGTTTTTTTCTGATTTTCACGAAATTCAAACTCAACCATCATTAGTGTATAAGTGTGATATATTCACACGTTTTTTTTTTTAAATCGGATAAAAATTGTGACCTCTATAGGGACCACAAGCTCAAAACCATAATTCAGGAAGTTACAATCAGATATGCGCGAATATCGAAAGAAACCAAGACCTTTGGGTTATAAACATGCATTTCAAGTTTCATCAAAATCGAACTCAACCATCATTAGGGTGTAACGGTAATATACTAAAACGTTTTTTTAAATCGGATAAAAATTTTGACCTCTAGAGGGACCACAAGCTAAAAGCGTGATTTTACGTAAAATCAGGGGCCATAATTCAGGACGTTATGATCCGAAATGTGCAAATATCGAAGGGAACCAAGATCTTTGGGATATAAACATGCATTCCAAGTTTCTCAAAATTGGATGAAAATTGTGACCTCTGGAGGGTCCACAACCCTGAAATACCATATTTTACATTATTTGCATACAAGGGGCGGCCATTTTGTCCCGCAGTTTTGGTCCGATTTTCACGAAATTCGAGCTCAACTATCATTAGGGTGACCTCTAGACGGACAAGATAAAAGCGTGTTATTTCTACAATCAGGGGCCATAATTCAGGAACTTATGATCCGATATGCGCCAATATCTTTGGGATATAAACGGAACCAAGATCTTTGAGACATAAACATGCATTCCAAGTTTCATTAAAATTGGATGAAAATTGTGACCTCTAGAGGGTACACAACCTTGATATACCATATTTTACACTATTTGAGTACAAGGGGCAGGTGGGACGATTTACCCAATACTACCCAATACCACCACATACTACCCAATAATACTACAACATAATGATGCAAAATAGACATATAATTTGATTTTTTTCAAAAATAGAGAGTTATATCACAGGAAATGAACTTCAAATGTGATATCCATGTCTGGCTGTTCCATTTGCCTCCCTATACCACCCCAAACAAGCCTATAATAACCCAATACTACCAAATACTACCAAATACTACCCGAAATGATCAAATAACAACCTAATATTGTCAAATAATAGCACATTAGTATAATTACTGCAACGAATTATCAATATTTTGCAGAAAATTAAAATGTTTACCCAGTTATCTCCCTTTACAACCGCTAAATTGATTTTAGATTGCTACTCGGTTTAATCAACTTCTTTGGCTTTGTGGTAGGTTTCCAAGACGACAAACTTAAAGTTGAAATTTCATATTTTTAAGTTATATTTTTAAAATTTATTAAAATAAAGCCTTAAAATGGATGGTATCTATAAACAGTCCTACCTTGTTAGAGAATAATCCTATTAATCCTATAATTTACTATTGCGGCAGTTGAGAAATTGGCAAAAATATAATTTAAATCTTCAAATTCCAACGTTTGAAGATAACAACTCCATGGTGGAGAATAGAAAACAAGGGAGGTAATTGTGTTATTATTTCCGGTGTAAATGAGTTTTAAGTGTGAGAATACACCTATGATCGTATAATAGTGAGTTGACAACCTATTGAGCAAAAGACATAGAAATAATTATGTTTTGACTTTCTTAGAAAATATGAAATTGTAACTTTAAAAGAAGAAAAACAAGTATGGGGATATACCATATTCTATAACCAAAATGACCCATCTGTCTCTTACCACTTGATAAGGTGGGTTTTCTCAGGTCCCTCGGTTTCATCTCACTGTTAAACACCCCTTCGCGCAAGTGAGTGATTGAAATAATATTGAACTATATGTTAGTCCAGAAATTACCTAGTTAGTGTCGATTGTTTGAATTTATTTTAAAATTAATGCTTTAACAAAACAATTGCATAATGTTTATATTAATTTTTTCATGTCAACTATTAAGTTATTGCGTATTTACTTACTGCACGATGTTTTATTTTAAAATTAGCGAAAATGCACATGTTTCATTCCATTGTGTAATTCTCGACGCGACACTTCTCAGTTATCAAAACTATCATTTGCGGCCTGTTACAGCTCTGTCCGTTTCTTTGATAATATAAATAAACCAGAACTTGATTACCCAATCATCAATCTTAACCCTGTTGATTAAACATGCATTATGCAAGAGCAAAATCTGCTTATTACAAGTCTTTCTTTAGGCCTGAAATGTTATCTCAATTATCAATTAGACATAAATTAACTTATCCAGACCATAATAAACTCTCGATGTCAAGGCTAGCCTTCGATGTAGGCTGGATTAGATTCCTATATGCCGCTAACGGCCAAAGATAATTAAATCAGAAAAAGTGGATAATCAAGACTATGCTGTTTATATTAATGATTTTAGTAATGATAACCGAGACTATGCAAAAATTTCACCGGCTTCTTTCTCGGCTCATAGTGGATCAATTTGACTGAAATTTTCAGCAAATTACCTTTACACTATCTAGTTTTTAACTAATATAGCGAGAACTGCCATCTCTTTATCTTATCTCCCATAATGTATCTTTAATTGTTAAGTCAGGTGGAATGAAAGTATATACGAGTAGAGTAATTACACATGTCATTTGTAATAAACATGTGCATTGTAATAAACATGTGCAATGTAATAAACATGTGCAATTTTGTTAATTTTAAAATAAAACATCGTCCAATTAAGTATATATGCAATAATTTAATCGTTGACATGAAAAAATAAATATAAACATATGCATATGTGGGAGAAAACTGGTGACAGTGTCTATTCATTTAGGTGGTAATGACATCGCCGCGACATTGTCACCTGTGGATATATACCGTAGAATACTTAAAATTTGTTCAATAGTGACGATATTCGAAGAATCGGTGAAATTTTGACAAGAGTTTTTTTTTCAAAGGCGACTGGTTTGGAAAAGAAATCATTTAAAAGACAAAGAAGACGCGTTAATAAGTCATTAAAAGACAGATATAAAGATAAATTTGTATGCTTTCCTGACATATTATACCCAAATGATTTTTTACAGGACCGCGTGCACTTGTAGACAGTGTGTTATCATACTAAAATCGCCAGGATGAAGACATAATCATTGTATAAGAAGACTTTTGAGTAGGCCACGAGACCGTTAAATGAACATTTTAAAATCAACCTCTAAAATATTATTTCATTTGGATGTTTGGCTGTTTATTTTATAAACTAATTTTATTTCAATGCATTTTTAAATCTTTGTTAACTTCTTTTAAAACTCTTTTTTGTCTTGGAAACAAACTGCAAAAACCAAAAAGATGATTAATCTGAGTAGCAATCTAAAATCTATTTGTCGGTTGTAAAGGGAGATAAATATTTTAATTTTCTGTAAATTATTGAATATTCATTGCAATTATTATACTGATGTGCTGCTAATTGACGATATTAGGTTTGTATTTTATAATATTGGGGCAGTATTTGATGAGTATTTGGTAGTTTGGGTTATTATTTGCTTGATTTGGCTGATATAGGGAGGCAAATGTAACAGTTAGACATCGGTAATCACATTCGAAGTACATTTCCCACGGTATATCTCACTATTTTTGAAAAAAATCAAGTAATATGCTCATTAGGCACCATTATGTTATAGTATTGGGTAGTATGTGGTGATATTGGAGTGGTATTCGGGTGGTATTGTGTAGTATTGGGTAAATCGTCCCGCTGCAAGGGGCAGCTATTTTGTCCGATATTCACAAAATTCGAACTCAACCATCATTAGGGTGAAACAGTGATATACTAAAACGTTTTTTTAAATCAGATAAAAATTGTGAACTCTAGAGAGACCACAAGCTAAAAACGTGATTTTTCGTACAATCAGGGGCCATAATTCAGGAACTTACTATCCGATATGCGCGAATATCAAAAGGAAGCAAGATTTTTGGGTTATAAACATGCATTTCAAGTTTCATCAAAATTGTGACCTCTAGAGTGTCCACAAGCTAAAAACGTGATTTTTCGTACAATCAGTGGCCATAATCCATGAAGTTATGGTCTGATACATACCAATATCAGAAGGAACCGAGATCTTTGGGAGATAGACCTATAAGTCAACAACAATATACGTCCACATGAAAATGTGGGTGTATAGAAAGCCACAAAATAACATGCTATTGACATGTCGATCGAGTTTAATTGGGTCAAGGACAGTCACACGAAATTCAATGTCACATCGGCATTTATACCAACCCATCACCATAATAAATAAAGGACATGTGTTATCATATAATTTATTTATTTATTTATTATACATCTATAAAATATAACAATAACAAGAGACATTCATTCATTCATTTATCGCAAGTACACTATTTTCTTACTTTATTTACAAAATCACCCGTATATACTCGTCAGAACTCTGATGGAACTGTTGTGGTATAACATCTTTAAATAGTCGATCATCGTGTACAAGTGACACTTTATGGTCCCTGGAAGCAGCGTGCTCCACCAGAGCCGATTTTCTAAAATTCTGGGAACCAGTCACAAAACTACTCTTGGCGGTATGTTCCTGCCAAAACATATCGTTTAATTAACCAGTGCGTACTGCGTATGTGACGAGTTACATGTAGACTATTGACTATTTCTCCATATGCGGGGAAAAAGTCGTTTCAAATTATTAACGCATTTAAATAATTCAAAGTCATAAAAATGTACAATAATTAACATGCTTTTTAAACTTATCAATAAATTAACTTGTATTGATATTTGGGGAGCTTAAAAAATATCGTGCTAGTATTTTCACTCGATGACATAGTAAAGATATTTGGACATATTTCAAAATTGCAGTGAGCGTAAAACTTCATTGTGTCAAGCAAAGAAACGTCTATCAATTGTTAAATAAAAGAAATCAGCGGCTGCCAGGCAGGATACGCCCACATTTAGCAAGAGATGGATAGAGAACAAGCTAAACAAAAAGCAAATTTTCGTACAATCAAGGGGCATAATTCAGGAAATTACGATCTGATAAGTGCAAATATCGACAGGAACCAAGATATTTGAGTTATAAAGATATATTTCAAGTTTCATCAAAATCAAATCAACATTGTGACTTCTAGAGGGTTGACCACCTTGATATACCATATATTTACACTATATGCGTACGAGGAGCGGCCATTTTGTCTGTCAGTTTTGGTCCGATTTTCATGAAATTCTAATTTAGCGTCACTAGGGTGTAACAGTGAAATATCCAAATGTTTTTTTTTTCAATCGGATAAAAATTGGGACTTTAGAGGGACCACAAGCTAAAAACACGATTTTTCTTACAATCAAGGGCCATAATTTAGGAAGTTACGATCGGATATGTGCGAATATCAAAAGGAACCAAGATCTTTGGGTTATAAACATGTATTTCAAGTTTCATCAATATCAGATCAAAATTGTTGCCTCTAGAGGATCCACGACTTGGATATACAGTAGAACTTGTATTAAGCAAGCACCTATGGGAAATTTAACAAGCCAACAGTGAGGCTGGTGTCCCCCGCCAAAATCCCCAAATAAATAGATGACACATATTAATTTTTTTCAAAAGTATCGAACAATCAAACGGATTATAAACTATACACTAAGTTTCATCACTCTCTATCAGATAGAATCAAAGTTATCTTGTCCCAAAGCATCGACTAAGGAAATTGCTTATCTCTGCTTAGCTTAAGCTAGTGATGTTTTGAACTCATTCAAGACGAACATCTACATCAAGTTTAAACATTCTACCCCAATAAGAAGCAGAGTTGTTATGTTCCAAAGTCATGACCAATCAAAATGCTTATTGCTCCTTAGCAGACAATTCTCATCATCGAACTTAGTCAAGGTATTGATGTAATGAAACTATACACCAAGTTTTATCACTCTCATAAACACCTATACCAAGTTTGAACATTCTAGCTCAATTAGAAGGAGTTATTGTGTTCCAAAGTCTCGGCCAATCAAATTGCTTATCATCACTCTACTTACCCTGAGCAGAAAATGCTCAATATCGAACTTAGTCAAGGTATTGATGTAATGAAAGTATATACCAAGTTTCATCACTCTCACTTAATTGGAACTAAAGTTATCGTGTCCCAAAGCATCAAACAATCAAATTGCTTATCTCTACTTACCCTCAGCAGAAAATGCTCATCTTCACACTCCATCAAGGCACTGACCTAATAAACACCGACACCAAGTTTAAACATTTTAGTTCAATTAGAAGGAGAGTTATTGTGTTCCAAAGTCTCGGCCAATAAAATTGCTTATCGCTCTGCTTACCCTGAGCAGAAAATGCTCATTAACGAACTTAGTCAAGGTATTGATGTAATGAAACTATACACCAAGTTTCATCACTCTCACTTAATTAGAACTAAAGTTATCGTGTCCCAAAGCATCAACCAATCAAATTGCTTATCTCTGCTTACCCTAAGCAGAAAATGTTCATCTTCGAACTCCATCAAAGCATTGACCTATAAACACCTACACCAAGTTTGAACATTCTAGGTCTATTAGAAGGAGAGTTATTGTGTCCCAAAAAGTGTAACGGACAGGCGGACGGACGGACGGACAGACAGACAGACAGACAGACAGACAGACAGACAGACAGACAGACAGACAGACAGACAGACGGACGAACCCATTTTAATAGTCCCCTGCTTTCTTCGAAAGGCGGGGGACAAAAATACTTGCTTAATGGAGGTGCTCTTTGACTAGAGGTATCCAATATTGCCCCAACCCCTACCACAAAAAATAAAGATATAGATTGCATATATTTTTTTTTATTCATGTAGTATAACAATAACAATACATATGTACTTTTTTATCTAGTTGTGAATTCAAAGTAGTCGCGTATACATGTTTGTTTAGTAATACTGGATCTCTGGCCCCCCAATATTTCTTTTACTTTCATTTTATTTTAGGGATTACGCGACCACTTTTACCTTCATTTGATAACTTTGTCACTTTGACACGTTCTTCAAGTGTAAGAACTTTACGAGGCGTAGTAATATTAGACATATTGATAAACAATGTCTTATCAATTCAGACTCTTTCTTACAATTATATATCATCATTGGATATAAATAGAATATTGATTAATGGTTAAAATAATCAGCTTGGGGTGTGAGTAAACTTGTTAATTAGTGATAGTTAGTTCAAGCCAAGCGAGTAAATCGTGTCAAGATTAGTGACAGTTCAGTCTCGTTCGCTCAAGTGAGAATTCGATTCTCCGAGATTCACTATGATGTGCTCGCTTAATGGGTGAAATAGCATGATCTGGGGCTAATATAGATGCCCGTTGTACGCGTTGAACAGGTGCATGTTTAGTAGGGATTAAATTACTTAAAAATCGATCATGGGGATTTTTTAGTGCTCGTTGAAGCAAGTGTTCGCTGATTAGGAGTGCAAGCCCAAGCAAGTTCTACTGTACCATAAATACACTATTTGCCTACGAGGTGCTAGAGACCATTGTGTTGTCCTAATTCAACACTTAATCATTATTAAACAATTTTATCAAGATAATTCAAACATACACTAAATTTTTGCTGGAAGTCTGAAGCCTTATCCAATAGGTACTATTTTTACGAGAGTTTGGCTCCATCCAAATTATGAGGGTTTCCTATTGTTTTTTGAGAAAAAATAATATGTAATTTTCATGCAGGTATTTTATATTGTATTTTCTGTCTGACATCCCATACATCAATAAGGAACAATAAGAAAATAATAACAAATATAAATATATTTTTATTTTCAACATGTTCAAGTTGACTGCTATGTTTTGTCCCTTTACTGTGCAGAGCCATATATGTCAATATCAAAAGGAGCCGAGATCTTTGGGAGATAGACCTATATTTTAAGTTTCGACTAAATCAAATAAAAATTGTGATCTGTAGAGTGTCCACAAACAAATTGTGGACAGACGGACGTCCGTACAGACAGGGGCGACGACAAAATATGCCACATGAAAAAAGGATTACAAACACACCTGACAACTCATCTTTTGTGTGGGAATATCATATCTTAACCACAGGAATGTTTGTGACCATTTAGTTGAGATTTTATGACAGACTTGGGTTTTCGGAGTGGAACTGTCTTCGTCGTGGGCCGATGTTGAAGAAGGGAGGTCGGATTCATTGATAACAATATCATCATCAGATATTAACTTTAGCCTCTAGAGCGATTGTGGATGCCGGACCGACGGGGGCAATGAAAATATACAACCACACTTCAATGTGGGCGTATAAAAAACATTATTTGGTGGATTTATTTTAATTATGTCCATTTCATTATTCGTAAATTTTGATGTTATAATTAATAGTTAATCTTTGATCACATAAATTATATTCCTATAATAAACGACCACCCTAAGTTGGGGTGCGTCTTGCATCCATTCAGTTGTTTGAGTAAACAGAGCAGAATTTATTTGTGTCATCAGTCCGTCAGTCAGGTATATTGCGAAAGATAAAAATATTTATTTATTTGGGCATGCAAGGAAGGATTGGGTGATAAATAAAATCTCCTACTCATCTTTTTTGATATCAAAAAATATCAACACTCGTCGATAAAGCAAAAAAAATAGGCAGTGCCTCGGTTTTTTTTTTACTTTATCGACTTGTGTTGATATCTTTTTATATCAAAAAACACTTGTAGGAGATTCCCTATATACCCGACAGTTTACATCACGACAGTTTACATCGAGTTTCGTCAAGTTCATGGATTCTATGATTTAGCACAAAATATGTTACTTTTCCGGCATGCAAAATGAACCACGGGTCTGATCCAGTTTCGGTCTATTTCAAAAGCCCTCGGTCCTGACCGGCATATACAGCCGACATGGAACCCATGGTATAAAATATAAATAATGTATAATAATTACCTTAGATTGATGATCAGATACCAGATTCTTCACTTTACCTTCTGTCTCACTTTTAAGATTAATACAAGAGCTCTCTCTGAAACATTAAGACAAGACAGTTAATATATTATTATTATTATTATTACAGTATCTTTATAGTGCACCCTTTCATATAACAATTGAAACGCATCACTGATTTGACTGAAATTGTAAGTGAGCCATAGTTGGCATGATTGATTGTAGAAACGACGTTTGTGTGTGCACTTAACAGCCACACACAAACCATGAAACATTGCAAAATAGAGATCAGTCTATAAATGGCTGCTTGTGGCACCCTTCTCCAATCTCATTGCAATGCTTCTTCCAGTGGCTCTGAAACTCATGGTCTTTTGAATTAACGGATTGCGCGTTTTGAATCGGATAAAAATTGTGACCTCTACAGGGACCACAAGCTAAAAACGTGATTTTTGTTCAATCAAGGGCCATAATTCAGGAAGTCACGATCCGATATTAGCAAATATCGAAAGGAACCAAGATCCTTTGGTTATAAACTTACATTTCAAGTTTCATGAAAATCAGAAGAAAATTGTGACATCTAGAGGGTCCACAACCTTGATTTACCAGATGTTAATACTATTTGCGTACGAGGGGCGGCCGTTTTGTCCCGATTTTCACGAAATTCAAACTCAGAAAAAAATTACGGTGCAACGGTGATATATTCGAACGTTTTCTAAAATCAAATAATAATTCTGACCTCTAGAAGGACCACAAGCTAAAAACACGATTTTTCGTACAATCTGAGGCCATAATTCAGGAAGTTATGATCCGATATGCGCGAATATTGAAAAGGAATCAAGATCTTTGGGTTATAAACTTGCATTTCAAGTTTCATCAAAATCGGATCAAATTTGTGGCCTCTAGAGGGTCCACGACTTTGATATACCAGATGTTTAAACTATTTGCGTACGAGGGGCGACCATTTTGTCCAGCAGTTTTGGTCCGATTTTCATGAAATTCAAACTCAGACAAAATTATGGTGTAACGGTGATATATTCGAACGTTTTTTTTTAAATCTGATAATAATTGTGACCTCTGGATTGACCACATGCTAATAATGTGATTTTTCATACAATCACGGGCCACAATTCAGAAAGTTACGATGCGATATGTACGAAAAGACAAAGGAACCAAGATATTTGGGTTATTAACATGCATTTCAAGTTTCATCAAAATCAGATGAAAATTGTGACCACCAGAGGGTCCATAACCCTGATACACAATATTTTGCCTGAAATTAGTGAAATGTGCAAATATCAAAATGGACTGAGATCTTTGGGATATAAAGATATGTTTTAAGTTTCATCAAAATCAGATAAAAATTGTGACCTCTAGAGGGTCCACAATCTTCGTATTACACACTTCTACACAATTTGCGTACAAAGAGCGGCCATTTTGTCAGGCAGTTTCATTTCGATTCTCCCGAAATTCAAATTCAACCTTCATTATGGTGGAATGGTGATGTATTTAAACGGTTTTTAAAATCGGAAAAAAATTGTGACCTTTAGAGAATCTGCAAGCTAAAAACGCGATTTTTCGAACAATCAGGGGCCATAATCCAGGATGTTAAGTTCGGGTATACGCGATTATCAAAAGGAACCAAGGTCTTAGTGTGTAATGGTGATATATTCACATGTTGTTTTTTTTAAATCGGATAAAAATTGTCCCTCTACAGGGACCACAAGCTAAAGATAGGTTGCCAGGCAACAAAACATACGCCCACAGCAGCTAAATCGTCCGAGCAGTCGACAAGGGTTGTCACATATTTATTCTTTTGTAGGTAATTAGGGGAATTTAATAGACAATTTCATACAGATGACACTATAATTTCCGTTGTTTGAAGGTTCACAAGGTTCTAAAATCTAAAACAAGGCCGTAACTCTGGAAGCAATCTACAGAAATTGTTCAAATTCGACAGGCTTTTTTCGTTTTAATAATTCAAATAATGCATATGAATTTCATACAGATCGGATGATAACTTTTGTTGTTCGAAAGTTCACAAAGTTCAACAAAGTAAATCAAGGGCCATAACTCTAGACGTAAGTGACGGAAATTGCTGACATTCAATAGGCTTGTTTGTCTTCATTTCACTAATTTAGGTGATAACTGAAACTCAATAGGCTTGTTCGTTTTACTAATTTAAATGATACATATAAATTTCATACAGATCGGATAATAACTTTTGTCGTTAGAGCATTTACAAGGTACAACAAAGTTAAACAAGGGCCATAACTCACGGCGTAATTAACGGAAATTACTGAAATTCAATAGGCTACTTCATTTCACTAATTCAAATGATGCATATCAATTTCAAACAGATCGGATGATAACTGTTGTCATTAGAGCGTTCACAATATTCAACAAAGTGAAACAAGAGCCATAACTCTAGATGTAATTAACGGAAATTGCTGAAATTCAATAGGCTTCTTTGTTTTACTAATTTAAATGATGCATATAAATTTCATACAAATCGTTTGATAACTTTTGTCATTAGAGCGTTCACAAGATTCAACAAAGTGAAACAAGGGTCATAACTCTAGATGTAATTAACGGAAGTTGCCGAAATTCAATAGGATTCTTTGTTTTACTAATTTAAATGATGCATATAAATTTCATACAGATCGGTTGATAACTTTTGTCGTTAGAGCCTTCACAAGGTGCAACAAAGTGAAACAAGGGCCATAACTCCAGAAGAAATTAACAGAAATTGCTGAAATTCAATAGGCTTCTTCATTTCACTAATTTAAATGATGCATTTCAATTTCATACAGATCGGTTGATAACTTTTGTCATTAGAGCGTTCACAACAGTCAACAAAGTGAAACAAGGGCCATAACTCTAGACATAATAAACGGAAATTGTTGAAATTCAATAGGCTTCTTCGTTTCACTAACTTAAATATTGCATATAAATTTCACAAAGATCAGATGTTAACTTTTGGCATTAGAGCGTTCACAATGTTCAACAAAGTGAAACAAGGGCCATAACTCTAGACGTAATAAACGGAAATTATTGAAATTAAATAGGCTTCATCATCTCACTAGATGTAATTAACGGAAATTGCTGAAATTCAATAGGCTTCTTTGTTTTACTAATTTAAAAGATGCATATAAATTTCATACAGATCGGTTGATAACTTTTGTCGTTAGAGTGTTCACAAGGTACAACAAAGTGAAACAAGGGCCATAACTCCAGAAGAAATTAACAGAAGTTATTGAAATTAAATAGGCTTCTTCATCTCATTAATGCAAACAACATATATCAATTTCAAAACAATTGGTTGATAAATGTAGTCTGTAGAGTGTTCACAAGAAATTGTGGACGATGGACGGACGGACGGACGGACGGGGGCGACGGCAATATACGACCACATTTCCATGTGGGCGTATAAAAATGTGATTTTTCAAGGGCCATAATTCAGGAAGTTATGATCCAATATACGCGAATATCAACAAGAACCACTATCTTTGGGTTATAAACATGTATTTCAAGTTTCATCGAAATCGGATCAAAATTGTGACCTCAGAGGGTCCACAACCTTGATTTACCAGATATTTACACTATTTACTTACAAGGGGCGTCCATTTTTTCCAGTAGTTTTAGCCCGATTTTCATGAAATTTGAAGTCAACAAACATTACGGTGTAACGGTGATATATTCGAACGTTTTCTTAAATTGAATAATAATTGTGACCTCTAGAGGGACCACAAGCTAAAAACATGATTTTTTCGTAAAACCAGGCCATAATTCAGGAAGTTATGATCTGATATGCGCGAATATTGAAAGGAACCGAGATCGTAAAACCAAGGCCATAATTCAGGAAGTTACAATCTGATATGCACGAATATTGAAAGGAACCGAGATCTTTAGGTTATAAACTTGCATTTCAAGTTTCATCAAAATCGGATCAAAATTTTGGCCTCTAGAGGGTCCACAACTTTGATATACCAGATGTTTACACTATTTGCGTACGAGGGGCAGCCATTTTGTCTTCCAATTTTGGTCCGATTTTCATGAAACTCAGCCTCAGACAAAATTACAATGTAACGGTGATATATTCGAACGTTTTTTTTAAAATCGGATAATAATTGTAACCTTTAGAGGAATCACAAGCTAAAACCCCTATTTTTCGACAAATCAGGGGCCATAATCAAGGGAGTTATGTTCGAATATGTGTGATTATCAAAAGGAACCAAGATCTTTATGATAAAAAACATATATTTAAAGTTTCATCCAAATCAGATAAAAATTGTGGCCTCTAGAGGGCCCACAACCTTGATATACCATATATTTAAACTATTTGGGTACAATTGGCAGCCATTATGTCCGTCAATTTTTTTCTGATTTTCACGAAATTCAAACTCAACCATCATTAGTGTATAACATGTTTTTTTTTTTAAATCGGATAAAAATTGTCCCTCTATAGGGACCACAAGCTGAAAACACGATTTTTCGTACAATCAGCGGCCATAATTCAGGAAGTTACGATCCGATATGTGCGGATATCGAAAGGAACCAAGATCTTTTGGATATAAACATGCATTCCAAGTTTCATCAAAATCCGATCAAAAATGTGACCTCTAGAGTGACCACAAGCTAAAAACGTGATTTTTTGTACAATCAGGGGCCATAATACATGCAATGGTCCGATACAAGCAATATCGAAAGGAACCGAGATCTTTGGGAGATAGACCTATATTTCAAGTTTCGTCAAAATTGGATAAAAATTGTGACCTGTAGAGTGTCCACAAACAAATTGTGGACGGATGGACAGGTGCGACGACAATATACGTCAACATGAAAATGTGGGCGTATAAAAATGCAATGCCAAATGCAACAACTTTTAACAAATGTACATAACAATTGACAAAATCGAGATAACAAGCATCTGTGGATAATTTCAATATCGGGTATTGTCCACCCTGAGCTCTTATCCATGCCTGAAGTCGCCATGGCATGGACTGGCACAGATGTCTCACTACATGCTGTGGGATTGTTTGCCAATGATTTTGGGGTGCCTGTACCAACTCTGGAACAGTTTGTGGTGGCACGGCTTGAGTTTGAACCCGTTGTCAAGTTCATCCCTAAGGTGTTCGATCGGGTTCATGTCAGGAGACATAGCGACCCAATCCATAACGTTATCATGCTGGAAAACCATCTGTCGTCAGACGCCATGTTGAGCCAGCAACGGAAGCAACAATGGACGAAGGATGGGGTCAACATAATGTTGAGCATTTAGATTGACTTGGACCACCACCAACTGGGACCGGAAGTTGACGTTGATAGCGGCCCAAACCATGACGCCACCTCCCCCGAAACAATCCCTTTCCAGCATGCATAATCAAGTAAAAATAAAATTCAAACTGGAATATTTGCATTTTATAAAACATACCCCTTTTTCTTCATTTTTTTCTCCAGGTTTTTTTCAGTTGCATTTTTTTCTTTATCGTGATTAGCTACCATTTTATCTACAATGGTACATTGCTGTTTTTGAATAAAACCCTTTTCTTTTTGATGTTTCTTTTTCAAAACTTCTAAATCCTTTAGTTGCTTTTTTAACAGTTTTAAATAAACTTTTTCATCCTTGAGTTTCTCCCGGGAAATAGGTGTAAAACTGAGTTCTTCTCCTGTAAGAAAATTGTTTTTTACTGTTAATGTTTCTTTATCTTGAGACTGACATGTAATTTAATTCAATAAAGTTGTGCAGATCATTTTACCTGGAAAACACCATTTTTACGCACCCTCTAATAACTAAACAATAAGTATAAGGGGATACTTTATGTTTACAGTTACATTTTTGTTTTATTCGAATGACTAGGTTCAATTATTTCCAGTGCTACATGTTTCAATGGGAGCCTGGCTCAAAATGTTTCCAAAAGGTTTTCATGGTCTATATAATTCCCAGTGATTTTTCTAACCAAACTACTACAATGAACCCCACCCACATATCAACAAGAACATACTACAGTATATTTTATCTTCAATATAATGCTCACACAAAAGTGATTTTTGGGATTTTAATATTAGAGGCCGTATATATTTAAATAGCTATTGATTTACCAGAAGCTCTTTATGCAAAATTCTTGAAATCACAACATAAATATTGCAGTACCAGATCTTAACTGCAGTAAATTAAATTTTATGTACCTTTTTTATCATCTTTTTTTGGTACATTAGCTGTCTCTGGAAGCACACTAGGCGAGGTTGAATTAGCAGTTAATTGTCCATTAGATGTTTTGTTTTGCACAGGTGTTTTATTAGATTTAGCTACAACTGGTACATCAACAATATCTGTTTCATCAATACCCATATCTCTCATCTGTTTCTCCCGTTTTTCAGCCATAGATAAAAATTGGATTGGAGCTGACAAAGCATCCACAAAATCTGCACAAGTAAACATAACTATAAAATATACACTTTAAATATTTCCAAATAAATTAAATTGGTGCAGGAGAGAATTCGTTAACTCTATTGTGTTTTTTTTTCTGGTATCCTCCCCACTGCTAAAAAATTATTGATTGGTCATTAACCCTTTTCAATGCTAGACGTAAATCCACTGCCTGTGCTAGATCCTTTTTTGAGGACAAAGAGGGATCTTGAACTAAATACCAAACAATATTGATAAAAGCTTTTGGGGGAATTCTTTTGTGTTGTGGGATGGGCATGAGGTTTGTCTAAGAGGAAAAAATAGAATTTTGGAAATTTGCATAATCATATAGTCACGTGACCTCATGGTGGCCATTTTGGATTTCTCGTTTTTCACTAAATCTATGACAAAAACAATTTTATTCTCCATGAAATACTTATGGGATATTGTCTCCATTAGGACTTACAGAGTAATCAAATTTTGTGTGATAGGTCTTGAAACAATCCTGATCAGCATGAAGGCCTGGCTGGCTTGGACAGTCAGGGCAAATCTAAAACGTCCGCGCGCCCAGCACACACTACACATTTTGTCCTTTCTGTACCCTGTAAGCCTCTGCACTGTGTCTGTCCTTATAACATCTTTGTTCAGTTTCAGACTGGAACTTATAAGTATAGCCAAGAGGTCCTTGAGGTCCACTAGGAAATCTTTGGTAGACAGCGTGAACATGCGATGAAGTTTATGCGCACACAATACACATGTCATGAACAATCTCAAAGCTACTTTTTGTACCAGTTGTATATCTTCCGTACCACGGTCACATTGTGGAGCTGCTGACCTACCATATCAACCCCACCCATCTTCTGGTTTAATAAGCAATTATGCAGGTAGTGCTCCTACGGCTAGTCGGACAGCTGTAAACGGTTCGAACTGGACGGTTAAACGGTTCGAATTCAGCGGTACGGTAATTCGGAGATGTCCTCCGTTACGTAGAGTTGTGCCTTATTATATTCCTAAAGCTGCAGTAATAACCAAAAAGCTAAATATTACTGCTATTCATAATCGGCAACAATAGATTTTTTACATCTGTAATAGTTATTACAAGTGTTGAGAATTTCACGTGCTGTGGCTATTTATAGACACAAAGAGAGCCTGAGACTCGTCTGAAATCAATTAGAGTTACGTCACTGAAGCGTGCACAAGTACAACTTTTAGGAGGGAAAAGATTCGGCCACGGGGCACTCTATCTTTATAACAAATATTGCCCGTTGTCATTTTGTATTTGATGTTTGAAAATCCTAGAATGTAACAGTCGTCCTACGATGTCGACTGCTAAAAAATAATACTACTAAAATAGCACTCATCGTAGTCATACGGCAAAGTCAACGGACCTGGTTCTGACCTTAGCTATTGTTAATCCAATCTAAATACTTCTCGGCATTTCTAACTACATTCTACCTTGTTTAATATTGACTTAAAAACGTAATCATAAAGGCTAGAAAATGACATTATAGTAGATTCGTTACGACATTCAACACGTTTCATATCTCGTAATTTCTTGCGAGAATTCTACTTTGGCTTTTAGTTAAATTAACCAATCATAAAAATTCTACTTGCAAGCGAGGAATTATTTCTTTATTGTCCAATCAATAGATGCCTTCCAATTTACTTTATTCTATTGTTAGTAACATTGTGTAATCATAATATTATCGCTATATGTCAAGTATGAAGGGAAACAGAGTATTGTTTTGTATATTATCGTAGACATATATTGAATTAAAAAATGTTTCAAATGAACCAAGTAAACCAGGTAAACAAATAATTATCGAAAATCACTGAAAATGAATAGACTTTTTTGTCTCATGACCTTAAACACTGTGTATAAATTTAAAGTCAATCAGATATTCACTTTAGCCTCTAAAGCGTCCACAAGATTTTTCAAAGTGATCAAGGGCCATAACTCTGGCAGTAATCATCTGAAAATCAATAGGCTTCATCGTCTCATGACCTTAAACACTGTGTATAAATTTAAAGTCAATCGGATATTAACTTTAGCCTCTAGAGCGTCCACAAGATTTTTTGAAGTGATCAAGGGCCATAACTCTGGCAGTAATTATAGGAAATCGATGAAAATCAACAGGATTCTTCGTTTCGTGGCCTTAAACACTGTATATAAATTTAAAGTCAATCGCATATTAACTTTAGCCTCTAGAGCGTCCACAATGGCTTGTGGACGCCGGACGGGGGCGACGACAATATACGACCACATTTCAATGTGGGGGTATAAAAAGTCCTAACTGTAGGAGGACTAGATGCATGCATGTTTGAGAATTGGATTTCCATCCTTGTCATCTTTTCCAGTAGGAATCATATCAGCACTTCCCTCTGTGGTTAACATACATACTTCTTTGGATTTGCTATTTGATTTGTCTTTCTTTGCCCTGAACTTTACAGCTTGCATGTGCCCTGTTTGTGATTTCATGAAACATGATGACCCCTTCTCAAGTCCTACTGTTCTGCTCCGAACTGGGCTAATGAAGACAGGTAGTAGAATCTGTACAAGCAGCCACTCCTATTCAGCGACATCTACTTGTAGAAATTCTATTGTTTCATATCTTTAATCAACAGCCACTCTTCTAACGCAGCCAGCGGTCACTATTTTATTAATATACTATTCAAAAAAAGTAGGGGATATTTGATTTTGGGGGCATAATACTAAAATATGCAAATGACTACGAAAAAAGTCACTATAGAACCTAACAGAAGAAACATTTCCAGTTACATGTGACGCCCAAACGCACCAATAGCTACCGCATGGAATGCAGGTGATGCTTGGGATCATCATGGGGGTCCAACCCAAGATTTGCACAACTCTGACTTTGAATGTTACAGTCATTGTGGCATTGAATTCCAGGGTGGAAACATCAGTTTAATTGTTTTAGTGACCAGAAAACAAATTTTGATATGCGTCGGCTTACCCAAAATGAAAGGTTACGTGCCCTTGGCATGCTACAGATCGGCACAACACAGGCGGTTGTGGCGCGGACGATGAATGTTTCTCAGTCTGTCATAAGCAGGCTATGGTCCAGATACTGTGATACACAATCTGTACAGGACAGACCACGCTCAGGTCGACCAAGGGCGACAACTCAAGCCCAGGATCGATTTATCCGTACCTTGGCCTTGAGAAATCGTGTCATCACAGCAAATCAGATCAGCGCTCGTCTTCAAACAGACACTGGAGTGAGAGTGAGTGGCCAGACGATTCGGAATCGACTGCATAGGGGTCACCTTCGCGCCCGACGTCCTCGCGTGATCCCTTGTTTGAGAGATCATCACATTCAGGCAAGACGTCGTTGGTGTAGGGATCGTCAACACTGGGATAATCGACACTGGAGCAATGTGATGTTTTCAGATGAGTCAAGGTTCACTGTTGATTTTTTGGACAGACGTAGGAGGGTGTGGCGTCGTCGAAACGAGCGCTTCCAAGACGTTAACGTCATCAGACATGATCGATTTGGGGGTGGTTCTGTTATGGTGTGGGGAGGCATCACTGTTGCTGGAAGAACGGCTTTACATGTTGTTGCAGGGCGTGTTACAGGCCAGTACTACCGGGACAACATCTTGGCAGTCCATGTTGTGCCGTTCGCACATGGCCGCCGTTTCATCTTCCAGGATGACAACGCAAGATGTCACAGGGCCAGGATCGTTACAGGTTACCTCCAACAACAGAACATCACCACATTACCTTGGCCAGCACTGAGTCCCGACCTCTCCCCCATCGAGCATGTCTGGGACATGCTTGGACAGAGGTTACGTCAACGTCAACAACGTCCTGCCAATGTCTCATTAGGAATATGCCACGTCGGATCAATGCTTGTTTGGCAAACAGAGGAGGATTTACCCGTTACTGACTTGGTTGTGATGCTGTGGTAACTTTGCTGTTTGACCCCAGGTATCATTTTACCCTTATAATGGTCAGTCTGTGCCTTACTTAGTCTAACGATCATTTGGAATAAATCGATGAATGTGAACTTCATTTCATTTTGTCATTTGTTTCTTCGTCAGTTTCATTAGGTGACTTTAATAACACTTAAAAATCAAATATCCCCTACTTTTTTTGAATAGTATAAATTTAGCAAAATAGCGCTTATTCAACAGCCACTGTTTTATGATACAATCTTGTCGTACTTCGTAGAACCTCCGCTAATCCTGTGATTAATAGTTAATTATCCATCCCCCACCGATCAGGTAAAATGAACTGTGAAAATAACAATAAACCCAGGATTGCCTGTTAATTAATCTTTTGTTTTATTAAATAACAAACCCTGATCATTGTTTACACACCTATTGAAACATTATTAGATACTGACTGAATAAACTAATAGTACTATCAAAGCCGAGTTTTGTCGCGATCATTTAGTATCTATTTTCCATTGCCACTTTGTTGCTAAACAGAAGTTTTAGCGCCCCCTATGTTACATACAGAGTTACACCCCCTAAAAATCGATGACAAATTCAGCATGTTTTTTTGGACATGTGCTTTTTGATAAAATAAAATTAATTCATGGATTTTCATCACAAAAATGGATAAATAATAGTGAATACATCACAGTGGTTGACAGTAGTATCAATGTTGGTACAAAATGACAGGTTTACAGAAGATATATTAGAGATTTGTGTCAAATAATTTTCGTCCCAAGCAAGTTTCAGCGACGGCCAAATTTACTGACGCAAGTATTGATGTTTGCTCCCAATGCATCCAAGCATAAAATTTACTTGATGTCAGCATTAACAAACACTCAGATTTTATTAAGCGGTCACTCCCGTTAGGCGACCAGTCATGAAAATTCCCTTGAGTGGCTGCTTAATACAGATTCTACTGTACAGCGTGTGGCCAAGGCCAAGATATGGTTGCATCAGATTCAGGGGGATTCGCTCAGTTACCAGGATTTGAGGCTCTGGATCATAATGATCTCTAAATGTGTTTTTACCGGAGTAGACTATAAAATCAAAAGAAATACCCTTGGATCTAGTAAGTTCATAGAACTTTATTCCCACCTAATGCGGTCCCTCACCTTTCTAATCAGTGGCCTTACCTTGTAAACCCTGTCCCTATTGGTGTCTTTTGGGTCATATGCTAGGTCTTGATTATTTGCAAAAGGTAGGAATTTCAGAAGAAGGAAGAACCTATTCCCTTGTCATTATTTGCCCAAATATAGGGGTTTCTATCAGATCCTGTCCGTCCCTGTCCTCTAGCGTGGCCGGCCCCTCTGATCCCTAATAGGGCCACCTCTGTCACCCCCATGGCCACCAAGAACACGGACACCGTGGCCACGAGCAGAGCCACCACCAACACGTGGACCACGTCTACCACTACAAAGACCACTATTGTCATTCAATATAGGCCTACCAGGAACCAGGCCACGAGCAATGCCACCACGAACAAGCGGATCACGCCTGCTTCTGCCAAGACCACGTTGGGCTTGCACTACCTCATTTTCACCATCACTTTCATCCCCCATTCCCGTATCATTATCACTATAGTCAGTCAATAGATGTACACGTTCGGGACTCAGGGATTGCCAACCTCTTTTACGACTAGCAGGCCAGAATCATTATCAACATCAAAATTATCATCAGAATCTACTGCAGACATAGGGCTATATCATGGTCACCTTGGCCTTGTTCATCATGCACAGGAGACATAGCCATAGGCCGAACGTCGAGCAATAAATCACCGAAATCATACTCTCAATCACTGTCTTGACTACTATCATTTTCAACTGGAACCCAATTACGTGTATCATCCGCCTCAAAATTGTCTTCACCGTCTTAGTCAGCAAAGATGTCATCCACGATTTCATAGAGAGTAAATCGTCTACGTGGGACTCTGCACCTCACCATTTTACAGTCTGACGCTTTGAAACATGTGGAAATATGTTCTAGTGTATAGAAAGATAGGATGATAACTTTTGCGGTTAGAGCGTTCACAAGGTTAAACAAAGTGAAACAAGGGCCATAACTTTAGAAGTAATAAACAGAAATTGCTGAAATTCAATAGGCTTCTTCATGTCTCTAATTCAAATATTGCATATAAATTTCACAAAGATCGGATGTTAACTTTTGGCATTAGAGCGTTCACAAGGTTCAACAAAGTGAAACAGGGGCCATAACTCTAGACGTTATAAACGGAAATTATTGAAATTAAAAAAGCTTCTTCATCTCACTAATGTAAACAACATATATCAATTTTAAAACAATTGGATGATAACTTTTGGCATTAGAGCGTTCACAAGAAATTGTGGACGATGGATGGATGGACCGACGGATGGACGGGGGCGACGGCAATATACGTCCATATTTCTATGTGGGCGTATAACCAGCAGCTGCCAGGCAGGATACGTCCACATTTTCGAGAGATGGATAGAGAACAAGCTAAAAAGAAAGTGATTTTTCCTACAATCAAGGGCCATAATTCAGGAAATTACAATTTGAGGAACCAAGATCGTTGGGTTATAAACTTACATTTCAAGTTTCAACAAAATCGGATAAAAATTGTGACCTCTATAGGGTCCACAACCTTGATATACCATATTTTTATGCTATTTGAGAACGAAGGGCGGCCATTTTGTCTGTCAGTTTTGGGCCGATTTTCACGAAATTCGAACTCAGCCGTCCTTAGGGTGTAACGGTGATATAACAATACGTTTTTTTAAATCGGATAAAAATTATGACCTCTTAGGGTCCACAAGCTAAAAACACGATTTTTCCTACAATCAGGGGCCATAATTCAGGAAGTTACAGTTCTATATGCGCGAATATAGAAATGAACCCCGATCTTTGGGTTATAAACTTACATTTCAAGTTTCAACAAAATCAGATAAAAATTGTGACCTCTATAGGGTCCACAACCTTGATATACCATATTTTTACGCTATTTGAGGAGAATGAACGGCGGCCATTTTGTCTGTCAGTATTGGGCCGATTTTTACGAAATTCAAACTCAGCCATCCTTAGGGTTTAACGGTGATATAGTAATACGTTTTTTTAAATCGGATAAAAATTATGACCTCTATAGGTTCCACAAGCTAAAAACGCGATTTTTCGTACAATCAGGGGCCATAATTCAGGAAGTTACGTTCCGATATGCGGGAATATCGAAAGGAACCAAGATATTTAGGTTATAAGCATACATTTCAAGTTAAAACCAAATCGTATAAAAATTGTGACCTCTACAGTGTTCACAAGCTAAAATTGTGATGTTTCGTACAAGCAGGGGCCATAATCCATGAAGATACAGTCCGATACATGCCAATATCGAAAGGAACCGAGATCTTGGGATGATAAACCTATATTTCAAGTTTCATTGAAATCGGATAAAAATTGTGACCTGTAGACTGTTTACAAACAATTGTGGACAGACGGATGGACAGGGCCGACAACAATATACGTCCACATGAAAATGTGGGCATATAAAAAACCATAGATGGCACTCGCAGTTACAACGTTAAATTTAGCGAGGAACTTAAATTTAGCGAGGAACTTATTGAGTACCCGGTAATACCGGGTACGTGCATTTTAACGACATTTTATAATACCCAGTACTACCGGGTAGACACAATGAAAGGGTTAAACACTATTTCTCTGTCCCCATCACATATATAGCATCAAATTAAACTATTGTGAGTAATATTTACCTCCAAAACCTTCTGGTACATAAGTTTTTAATATGATACGACAAAATACTGTTTGAAGTGATAATGGAAAATTTCCTTCTGTTCGTAATGATATGTGACGATAACCTAGAAAAAAAAAATCAAAAGTATATATGAGATGCTCTCTAGATGAATAAATATGGGTATTTGTTCATAAATAAATTATATTACTGGTAAAAGATACAAATAATAAATATAGTTTTTTTTCTACAAAACAAACCTGCTTGTAGGCCATCTAATGGTAATATTCTCTGTCCAATTAGTCTACCGGTTTCTTCATAAACAGCTATACGTAATACAGCTAATTCTGGTAATACAACCTGTATAGATTATAACATAATTTATAGAACAATTGATAATGGGCTTTTAAGCAAAAATACAATAATCCAATGACATTTATGATTTGAAGCAATGAAACATAAAAAATCCAGCAAATACTGTACTTTTCCACATAATGATAATAAATAATATGAACATTTGTATAGCGCTGATTCCACACTCCAATTAAGCTCTATAACGCTTGCTACACACAATTTTAAAATTAAATATAACGTTTAAATAAGTATGCTTTAAGTCTGGATTCAAAACACTCAACAGAAGGAGCACTTTTGATGAACACTGGAAGATCATTCCATTTTGATGGAGCAAGAAAACTAAAAGTTCTTGCCCCAAATGTTTTCATTCTCCACCTTGGGGTTACCAACTGTATTTGATCACATGAGCTTAAACTCCGGGAAGGCTCATGACTTTGAATTAGTTCAGTTAAATAAGAGGGTGCTAGGTCATCAACACATTGATAGGTCACTGATATCTTGAAATCAATTCTCCAATGTTCGAAGGGGGATAACTTCACCGCTAGAGGCGCTAGGCGCAGGGGGGTGACAACAGACGTAAACACATTTTTTTTTACGTTTTGTTGCGCTTTTGGGTACAACCACTAGAAGTAAGAACGATGCGTGCAATTTTTATGAATTTCCCGTTGATGAGCATTGGCGTAAATTATGGGTGAATGCTGTCAAGAGAAATGTTGTGACAGACGACGGGAAAGTTCACCCATGGATCCCGTGTGATAGCTCGAAGCTTTGTAGCTGTCATTTCCTGAGTCCGCCAATCCATCATCCAGGCAAAAAAATAACAAGCATGTACTACCAACAGTGTTTGTATATAGAAAAAATCCAACACCAAGGTCTTCTACCAAATTTAAAAAGGGATCAACCACTAGTCTTGAAAAGGAAAAACTCCTGATAGTGATATGGTCAACAAGGTGGGCTATATAATAGTCTAGACCAGTAGATTAGAATATGCACTCATTGAATGTCTACACATGGATCTTCCTATTACGTGAACTACAACCGCTCAACCCAGCTCCTGTAAATTGGCATAAAAATCTATGAATTACCGGTAGTCTTATTACTCCTATATAATGCCATGAGATGTTGAGGCCCATATAATTTTTGTCATATTTCCTACCATACCCGGTACACACAGTCAATTGTATTATTTAAGTATTATTAATTAGGCCTAGTAGTCTATGGAATAGCCTAGTCAAGATTGCCCGCATATAAAATTAAGGCCTTGTTCAGTTGTTTACAATTCACATTCACATTATTCAACTACCTTTTAAGCCTAACATTTGGCTCAAACTATCACCAGAGTTTAATATTATGCAATGGAGGTGGAAGGGGGGAGTTCATCAGGTTCATAATTTTAAAGAGGCACCACTAGCCTGTCACTCTTGCCAAAAAAAAAACCCCACCATTAAATGATGGATTTAGTTTTGAACAAGCCAACAGTGAGGCTGATGTCCCCCGCCGAAATCCCAAAATAAATAGATGACACATATTAATTAATTGTACATTTATTTTTTTCAAAAGTATCGAGCAATCAAACTACACAATAAATTTCATCACTCTCTATCAGATAGAATCAAGATTATCTTGTCCCAAAGCATCGACCAATGAAATTGATTAGCTCTGCTTAGCTTTAGCGTGAAATGCTAATCATTGAAATCAGTCAAGACATTCACTTAATGAACATCTACATCAGGTTTAAACATTCTACCTCAATTAAAAGCAGTTTTTATGTTCCGAAGTCTTGACCAATCAAATTGCTTATCACTCCTTAGCCCAGGCAGAAAATTCGCACAATCAAACTTAGTCAAGGTAATGATATAATGAATCTATATTCACTTTCATCGCTCTTACTTCATTAAAACCAAAGTTATCGTGTTACTAAAGCATCAACCACTCAGATTGCTTATCTCTGCTTAACCTGAACAGAAAATGCTCATCTTTGAACTCCTTCAAGGCATTGACCCAATAAACACCTACACCAAGTTTGAACATTCTAGCTCAATTAGAAGGCTAGTTATTGTGTTCCAAAGTCTCGACCAATCAAATTGCTTATCGCTCTGCTTACCCCCAGCAGAAAATGTTCATTATCGAACTTAGACAAGGTATTGAAGTAATAAAGCTATACACCAAGTGTCCTCACTCTCACTTAATTAGAACTAAAGTTATCGTGTCCCAAAGCATCAACCAATCAAATTACTTATCTCTGCTTAACCTAAACAGAAAATGCTCATCTTCAAACTCCATCAAGGCATTGGCCCAATAAACACCTACACCAAGTTTGAACATTCTAGCTCAATTAGGAGAGTTATTGTGTTCCAAAATCTTGACCAATCCGATTGCTTATCGCTCTGCTTACCCTGAACAGAAAATGCTCATTATCAAACTTAGTCAAGGTTTAGATGTAATGAAACTATACACAAAGTTTCATCACTCTCACTTTATTAGAACTAAAGTTATCGTGTCCCAAAGCATCAACCAATCAAATTGCTTATCTCCGCTTACCCTAAGCGGAAAATGCTCATCTTTGAACTCCATCAAGGTATTGACATAATAAACACCTACACCATGTTTGTACATTCTAGCTCAATTAGAAAGAGAGTTATTGTGTCCCAAAAAGTGTGATGGACAGACGGACGGATGGACGGACGGACGAACGGACGAACCCATTTTAATAGTCCCCTGCTTTCTTCAAAGGCGAGGGACAATTATTGAAAAGAACCTTAGTTAGACTCCCCTATTTATTGAAAATTGAACGAATGACATACCAGTGTTAAGTAAATTTGTTATTTTCTAGTTCTGTGATAGAAATTTTGGAAGCTGAGGATTCACCACAAGAAATTGATAGAATACCAGCTGCTGCCAGGCATGATACGCCCACATTTTCGAGAGATTTATAGAGAACAAGCTAAAAAGAAAATGATTTTTCCTACAATCAAGGGCCATAATTCAAGAAATTACAGTTCGATATGCGCAAATATCGAAAGGAGCCGAGATCTTTGTGTTATAAACTTACAAATAAAAATTGAAAAATAAATACATGTAAACATTTTGTAAAATGAGAAATCAAAGTAAGAATTCCCGTAAAATATTATTGTTATTGTGTGTGTCTAGTTAATCGAGGTTATTCGTTAAATTCTGCGTGTGTGCGATTGAACAAAAATAGTAACACACAATAAAAGGCCTGAGACGAAATTGTTTTCTAACGTAACGAAGAAATAACAATTAAAATGAGTGGGGCTTCGGAAGCCACTGCCAAGAATTGGCTTCAGACATAAGACCTAACTAAAAGTCTACATCACATTCACAAACTGTCACAGCTACCTGGCTGTAGCAGTGCTAAAAAAATCTCTAAGAATGAAATCTAATCATTTGTTATGAATTAAAGTAATATCTTGTTATTTAGGTGTTTTATGTTAAAACTGAACCAGCGGCTGCCAGGCAAGGTACGCCCACATTTTCGAGAGATGGATAGAAAACAAGCTAAAACGAAAGTGATTTTTCCTACAATCAAGGGCCATAATTCAGGAAATTACAATTCGATATCTGCCAATATCGACAGGAACCAAGATCTTTGAGTTATAAACTTACATTTCAAGTTTCAACAAAATCGGATAAAAATTGTGACCTCTATAGGGTCCACAACCTTGATATACCATATTTTTACAAAATTTGAGAACGAGGGGCGGCCATTTTGTGGGTCAGTTTTGAGCCGATTTTCACGAAATTCGAACTCAGTCGTCCTTAGGGTGTAACGGTGATATAATAAACCGTTTTTTTAAATCGGATAAAAATTATCACTTCTATAGGGTCCACAAGCTAAAAACGCGATTTGTCATACAATAAGGGGCCATAATTCATGAAGTTATGGTCAGATATGCGCGAATATCAAAAGGAACCGAGATCTTTGTGTTATAAACTTACATTTAAAGTTTCAACAAAATCGGATAAAAATTGTGACCTCTATAGGGTTCACAACCTTGATATACCATATTTTTACGCTATTTGAGAAGGAAGGGCGGCCATTTTGTCTGTCAGTTTTGGGCTGATTTTCACGAAATTCAAACTCAGCCGTCCTTAGGGTGGGTGTAATGGTTATATATTAACACGTTTTTTTAAATCGGATAAATATGACCTCAAAAGGGTCCACAAGCCAAAAAACGCGTTTTTGCGTACAATCAGGGGCCATAATTCATGAAGTTACGGTCCGATATGCGCGAATATTGAAAGGAACCGAGATCTTTGAGTTATAAACTTACATTTCAAGTTTCAACAAAATCGGATAAAAATTGTGACCTCTGTAGGGTCCACAACCTTGATATACCATATTTTTACGCTATTTACGTACAAGGGCCGGCCATTTTGTCTGTCAGTTTTGGGCCGATTTTTACGAAATTCGAACTCAACCGTCCTTAGGGTTTAACGGTGATATAATAATACGGTTTTTTAAATCGGACAAAAATTATGACCTCTATAGTTTCCACAAGCCAAAAAACGCGTTTTTGTGTACAATCAGGGGCAAAAATTCAGGAAGTTACAGCCCGATATGCGCGAATATTGAAAGGAACCGAGACCTTTGGGTTATAAACTTACATTTCAAGTTTCAACGAAATCGGATAAAAATAGTGACCTCTACAGGGTCCACAACCTTGATATACCACATTTTTACGCTATTTGAGAACGAACGGCGGCCATTTTGTCGGTCAGTTTTGGGCCGATTTTCACGAAATTCGAACTCAACCATCCTTAGGGTTTAACCGTGAAATAATAATACGGTTTTTTAAATCGGATAAAAATTATGACCTCTATTTTTCGTACAATCAGGGGCCATAATCTATGAAGTTATGGTCCGATAGATGCCAATATCGAAAGGAACCGAGATCTTAGGGTGATAAACCTATATTTCAAGTTTCATTGAAATCGGATAAAAATTGTGACTTGTAGATTGTTCACAAACAATTGTCCAGACAGGGGCGACGACAATATACGTCCACATGAAAATGTGGGCGTATAAAAACTGCTAATCAATATTTAAATTTTCTAATCAAATTGGACTTTTTGATTAGCAGTGCTGCTAATCAACTGTGAAAAAATACTGACAGCCCTAAACACAACCATTCAATCCAAAAGATGTCTAGGAAAATTTGGTGGTCATCCACCATCAGATTTAGATCGATTAAATCTTGATTCAACGCAGTTTCAGTTCCATGTGACTGATGGTAAGCGGGCTGGAGTTTATGTAGCGGATCGTTTTTGTGAAGATGTTTCAACAGTCTCTTCCTAACTTCTTTTTCAAGTACCTTCGAAAAGAATGGCAAATTTGAGACGTGTCGATAGTTTTTGAAAATATTTTTATCAGGTGATGGCCCTTATATCAAAGGTTTTATGACTGCTACTTTAAAGGAGTTGGGAACAAAACCAGATCGGAGGCTTGAACTGATTACTTTAGTTATCGCAGGAAGAAGGGTATCAGCACACTGTAATAAAATCTTTGTAGGAAAAGGATCCAGCAAGCACCAGATTTGTTTAGATTCCATCAAGAGTTTTAGCACCTTGGCCTCTGAGAATGGTTTGAAATATTTCAATTTTCTACCTGAGAAATATTTGTCCAGATCAGTTCCTTTTGAAGTTGTGGCAGTACCGATGTCATTTTTAATTTTGAAAATCTTATTCGTGAAGAATTCACTTAATTCATTAGCTAGTCATCAAATCCTCAAGCAGATTTGAACAGAATTTACTTTAATTGCAGTATTCCTACCTTTCTAAAGACAAAGGACTCTTCATTATAAACTGGATTAAGACCATTATTTGGTACAACTCTGGTGCGGAATTCACGTCTGATAGTATCTGTTGGTAAACCATACATATCAACTTCTACATAGGTTCCTATCTTCTTATCTGATAAAAACTGACCCGATATCACCTGCAAAAATTCAACAACAAATTTATAATTCAAGTGTTTCATTTGTTCCTATTGTCATAATTATTCTTCAAACACAAAGATATAAAAGATTATTTGTAATATATTTATTTGTACCTACCTCTACAGAACAATGAGCAGCTATTACACCGTCTACAGGACTCTCGGAGAATGGATCAAATGTACGATCTGGTCGTCTCATAAAATCAGGTTTCAATAGATACCTGGAACATTATAATTCAAATATTATTATATCCTTTTCTTTAGATGACAGGAGCAGCTTGTTAAAGTGTTACTTTCGTATACAAAATTAAGGGACATGGAACATGTAATGGAAAGGGAGTTATTATTTAAATTCTCACTGAAAACGAAATGAAACACATTCAATCCCATCGTTGGCGTGGTACTATAAGCTTACAATGAATAAAGGTACATGTAACACTATTATAAAAGCTACACATACGGGAAACGATAGGTTGCCAGGCAACAAAACATATTCCCAAAGATGCTAAGTCGTTGAGCAGTCCATAAAGGTTGTCACATATTTTTTCTTTTGTAATTAATGGAAGCATTCACAATAGACAGCTCAACATGTACAAGCAAACAAAAAGTTACAAAATATAATCCCTTCCGTCTTATAAGATTTCACCCCATCAAAAGCAGTTCTGAATAATATTGAATTGTGTTTATTAATACAGAACCACTATAATATTAACAAGCCAACAGTGAGGCTGATGTCCCCCACCGAAATCCCAAAATAAATAGATGACACATATCAATTAATCACACATTTATTTTTTTCAAAAGTATTGAGCAATCAAACTATACACTAAGTTTCATCACTCTCTATCAGCTAGAATCAAGATAACTTGTCCCAAAGCCTCGACCAATGAAATTGATTAGCTCTCCTTAGCTTCAGCTCGAAATGTTAATCATTGAACTCAGTCAAGACATTCACCTAATGAACATCTACATCAAGTTTAAACATTCTACCTCAATTAAAAGCAGAGTTGTTATGTTCCAAAGTCTTGACCAATCAAATTGCTTATCGCTCCTTAGCCTAAGCGGAAAATTCTCACCATCGAACTTAGTCAAGGTAATGATATAATCAATCTATATTCGGAGTTTGATCGCTCTCACTTCATTATAACCAAAGTTATCGTGCCCCAAAGTATCAACCAATCAGATGGCTTATCTCTGTTTACCGTAAGCAGACAATGTACATCATTGAACTCCATCAAGGCATTCACCTAATGAACGGCTACACCAAGTTTGAACATTCTACCTCAATTAGAAGGAGAGTTATTGTGTTCAAAAGTCTTGACCAATCAAATTGCTTATCGCTCTGCTTACACTGAGCAGAAAATGCTCATTATCAAACTTAGTAAAGGTTTTGATGTAATGAAACTATACACAAAGTTTCATCACTCTCACTTAATTAGAACTAAAGTTATCATGTCCCAAAGCATCAACCAATCAAATTGCTTATCTCTGCTTACCCCTAAGCAGAAAATGCTCATCTTTGAACTCCATCAAGGCATTGACCTAATAAACACCTACACCAAGTTTAAACATTCTAGCTCAATTAGAAAGAGAGTTATTGTGTCCCAAAAACTGTGACGGACGGACGGACAGACAAACCCATTTTAATAGTCCCCTGCGTTCTTCGAAAGGCGGGGGACAAAAATTGTATCAGATTATTCTTAAAGATGCTTTGTGTAAGAATTAGATTAAGAGCTGGATGGCCGTTCTTGTTATAATAGTTCAAAAGTAGATGATGAAATATGAAGATATTGAAAATGGCAGTAATTATCAGAAATTATTGAAAATCAATAGGACTTTTTGTCCCATGACCTAAAACACTAATGTCAAAAAGTATAAATTTAGCCTCTAGAGCGTCCACAGATAGACGACGGACGGGGATGACAACAATATTTCTAGGTGAGCGCATAATAATTTCTTTAACAATACTCACCCACAGTTGTTGTTGTATTCAAACTTTCCTTGATTCAGCTGCATAGCCAAATCAGCTGTTTGAAAATTTAAAGAGACCATTTGACATCCAGCATTCCAGAAAATCTAAAAAAAATGTATAATTTAAAACATGGAATACTTGAAGGGAATTTATAAATCGGCCTAATAATTACTGAAATGAAACTTGCAAATTCAAGTCATTAAAATGTCAAAATATGAGTTATTTCCCTCCAAACATTTTGAATTGACATCATTGCAAACTTGCAATCGGGTGACATTACATCCCATTCTGTCAAAGTTGTGAAAACTGGTGTGAATAGACTGATGATGTAATCAAAGACAGAAAACTTTTTACATCGCTGATGATCACAAGAGTTTTAATTTGCCCGTTAATCGTTAGATAACTTGATTTAACAGTTTATGGGATTTAGAAAATTGTACTCTAGAACTTTCATCAAATATGCCCAAAGATCTATCAACTTAAAACATGGAGATTGAATACCTACCTGTGGCATATAATTACTGGAATCAACTCGACCACCTTTAGGATATATTCTACTCATCTGACGTTTATTATAACTAGACTAGGTTAAGGTTTTATTTTATATTAACCTTTGTCTAAAACATTGTTTGATTGCTAAATATACATGTCTATATTGCACACACTATGTACCACTACACATCATATCAGCTATCAAAATTCCTTCTACGTGTTATACCTGATATTTCAACATGCTATGTCTCATAATTTAAAAAGTGTATCTCACAAAACATAATAAGACATTCATTCCAACACTGTGTAGCTGTGCTATATATCTGCTCATCTCTTTTATTATCTCATGTAGCTAGATAATAACATACTATTGTACACTGTAGGTAAAGAATATCCACAGACTGCCATACCCATTTCTTGTGACTTGTGATCAATGATCAAGATAAATGGGTGTGTCTGGGTGCGTGCATGTGTGTGTGGGGGGGGGGGGGTCTGGGCAACTCATTTTTAAAAGAATAAAGTGTTAGCATAAGGTAGCCTTTATGAAATCAGTCAGTTATATGTTTGTTGTTACAATGCTATTCTATTCTTCATATAACAGTCTTTTTTTGTGATTGAAATTAATAACCATAAAGTAGTGCGGCATCATTGCCATTTTTCGCTAAATTGTCAAATTTGTCATAGCTTTAATTCATGCAAAAATGTACTCAGACTGATCATGTAATATTTAATTAAGAAATCAAAATCAAAATACCAACGCTTGGATTCAATTGGATTTAAAACAGGCCTATCATTAAATTCTTGTTGACAACAAAATGGAGGTGGGCTTACTACATAGCAAACAGCATTAATCGATGGAATTTCAATTCCTCATATCTTTGTAAATACTGACCAGAATTTTAAAAAATTTGGACTGATATTCCTATTTGAGATTCACCTTTCACAATATTGTTGTAGTTCTCAAGAGATTTCTATAGCACTAATAGTAAGTGCAGGGGGACTGCACTACACAAAATTTACACAAAAACAATACACGGACAAGACTTTATGTTTATATTAACATGACCTGTCAAGCCAAAATTTTACGAAAATTCTTGATGTATGTCACTTATGGACACTGTCAATAAAAGGCCTGACAATAATAATTATACACATCTTTTTATTCTTATATATTAAAGATCTTATTTGGATTAAAAGTAATTCAAATTTAAATGCAATAAAAATAGCCATTAAATTAACTCAAGAATAAACTAATTTGTCTGAAATTTTCAATATATTCATTTTTGAAAATCTTTTTTTTGAACTACTATAGGATGAACAGCCAGCACTTTCTCTAAATCCACATAAAGCCATTTTAATCATGTTTCACCTCCTCCAAAAAAAAAAGAGAAAAGCTCTTTTTCCAAAATGTACTAATTGGACAATATTTGTCATAAACAGAACCCCGTTCCGGACAAATCCTTGCTCTGCCACCGGCTGCATTGCAATAGTTTCTTAGACAGAACTAATATGTATTACAGATGTGAGGAGCCAGGATGAGGAGGAAGATTATTGACCATTGAGAGTAAGGCTGTGCAAAAATATCGATATAATCAATAATCGGTAGAAGTTATTTAGCGATACGATAATCGATATTGAAATTCAAATATCGATTATCGGTATATTTACCTTCTGACGGCAAGTTACGGTCACTTTCACATGACTGAACTTTCCGTAGTCTGGCATGCAGACGAATGAACGAATACACAACAACTATTTTCCCCCTCTGCTTACAAACTGGCACATTTTAAATATATATTATTGTAAAAAAACTAAACTTTAAGATTAAATACATTATTTTAATATTTTCGTTGTTTTTGTTGTTATTACTAGTTGAAACTAAAATAGGTCACGCACTTTGTGAACAATGACGATCGCACGTGATATAGTAAAATTAGAATTATCTCCCTTCTTTGCTCTTGATTGATTTGTAGAGAAATTGTCTGCTTTCACGATAAAACTAATTGTATTATTAATGATCAACTCAGCTTTTATTACTAAATCATGTCAGATACAGTGCATACAAAACACGTTTTTGACTTCCCGGGAAAATATCTATATCTCTCGTAATTTCTTGCAAGAATTCTACTTTGGTTTTCGTCAAAATTAACCAATCATAAAAATTCTACTTTGAAAGCCAGTAATTATTTTTTTATTGTCCAATCAATAGATGCCTTCTATTATATTTTATTCTATTATTAGAAACACTATGTGATCGCCAGTAACTTGCAAAGAGAAACCATGTATTGTCTTAGTATTTATCGGAGATATTGGAATAAAAAAAAGGTTCAAATGAATCAAGAACAAAACTTAGAATAATACTCAAGTTAATCCTACATTTAGCAACTAATTATTTTACATTAATTGATTTTTTTACGTACATCGGCACAGTATTAGACTAGGATAATAACACTACTGTAACTCGATCAACACAAATAACAGGTCGGTAAAGTTCGGTTTTTCCGGAAGAATGATAATCGATTATTATCAATAATCGCTGACAAATTCTTGCCGATAATCGATATTGAAATTTCATATCGATTCCCAGCCTTAATTGAGAGATAATAAGACAAAATGAGCTGAAAGTAATGACAGCTAGACAGAAACAATATAAACTACATTTACTTTATAAAACACACTGGTACATTGTAGTTTGTGGTGCAATAACAACATGCAAGGAAAAAAAAAACCACCATGCTAAAGTCATCTCACCAGTTACATTTTATTCATGTCTATACTTCGATCTCTCCATTTCCATTTTAATTTAGCTATTTGAATTGACAAATTTTATAGATACTCTACATACAAACATTTCAATTGACCTGATTTAAGAGTTAACTGTGGCCTATCATCTGGGAAAAACAACATTGATTTTAGTTAAGAGTAGGCCATATTGCCGCTGTCCGGGCAAAATTTCCCTCATAGCACACTGTATGGCGTATGCCCGTCTTCATTAGCCCAGTTCGGAGCAGAACAGTAGGACGTTAAACCCCATTTCATTTCATTTCAGTTAAGGATCAGAATACAACACAAATGTGATTTCTCTGCAGCATATGTGTTTGTGTCTCTTAATTAATAAGAGAACATTCTGTTTGAATTTCTAAATCAATAGGTTACTTATTTTCCACCATCAACATTTCAGTTGATTGGTTTTTTTAACACCTTTATCAAGGATACTTAACAAAATCTATACAAGTATGTTTAATAAGACCTAGAGCTGTATTCTCGTTGAAAGATGACATGTGGTAACACTTCTTGTTAGCTAACAAAGAAACAAAAATAGAAAAACAAAACATTATCAAAACATTAAAAAATACAAGATCATCTGCTGGAAATGGATTTTGGAGTGTGTTTTTTACTGATAGTAACTAATTAGCAGAAAAGCATGTTATTTGACAAAAAATATCAAATATAAAGTTTATCCTCAAAGCCAAAGTAAAAGTCATGAGACAAATGGCTTTAAACTTATACTTTGTTAATTGTGGTTTTCCAGTAGATGTCTTTCATGCATTAATACAAAAGTGGTAACAACCATAAAAAGGTACCTACATATATTAATATTTTATAATAGTCTATTTTCATTACATGTGGTATATTATCATGTCTGCAATCCATATTATCATCTTGTAAAAATCAAACACTAATTTTTTTGAGATCATCCAAATAGTAGTACATGGACCGCATAATAAATCTCCTCTAAATAACATGGAATCTTGACTGGGGTAAATCATTGTTATTTGTGTTTTTTACAATTCACTTGTTTAACATTGCATTGTTCATGTTGTATTTGTTGTTTTGCTGCATTGTTTGTATTAGTCTTATCTATCTAGTAATTATATGCAATACATGTTGAATTAGGATGCAGACAGTAATACAATACACATTTTTATTTAAAATCTATATTATTCAGTTTATTTTAACAAACATTCTCATGCCCAACTCTCAACAATATATTTATAAAAACAAACATGCGTAAAACATCAAATTTCACTGTAATTCTATATTTAAATTGCACTGTAATTCTATATAACTGTAATATAACTGTAATCCTACATTTAAATATAACTGTAACCCTCCCTATATGTTATATTTAAATCAAGGTATTCTAACTATATGTAGATTTTGAATTGCATGCAACAAAATAACTACATGTATACTTATTCCAATTTCAAACCTTATTTATAGAGGATTCTAAATAAATTTTCTAAAGAATTCAATATAAGCGCTAAAACAGGAATTCATATCTTTAAAATCATTTTTCAAGTATCGCTCCATTGACCTGTAAGGTCAAAGCAGTTCTACAAGAGAGAGAGAAATGGGGTTTGACGTACACTCGACACAAACTAGGTCATTACGAGACTAACACATGGTTCAAAATTTTATTTCAATAATTCGCTTGCACACAGGGGTCTTTAGCAGTGGGAGGAAACCGGAGGACCCGGAGTAAACCCACGAGGTTGGACTGGCGACCCTACTCATTGTCACGTACAACTGGGGAATCGAAACCCCGCCAGTTGACTCAATGACAGACTTTATGATACAGTGTGCACATGCTAACCATTCGGCCATCAACCCCCTCTGTTTTAGGAATCTCAACTATTATTAATTATATTTTAAATAGGTAAATGTGAGACAGGAACTATTCTTTGTCTAGTGCACTAAAAAAAAGTCTTCTCTAAATTTAAAGGGAAAAGTGGAAAAAGACAACACAATAACAAATTTTCAGATAAAATTGAAGGATACTTGACAAATTCAATAGCTTGTGTTTTAAGATATCCTAAACCAGCATTCTCATTAAATGATGACATATGATAATGTATGCCACGTTCTGAAATAATCAAAATATGCCCACATAATAAATATATCATTTGACAAGATACACTGTAAAACTTGTATCGTTTAATAAGGGGTTTCTAGCGCTAAAAACTATGCATATAGTTTAATTTCAAAACATCGTTTGATATCGATAAAAATCATTTGGAAATTACAAAAATCGTTTAATTAGTACTATAGTTTAATTTAATGGTACACCGTTTAATTTCTCCGAGAGGTGTTTATCTACTATGTTTAACTATTAGATGAATCGTTTATTTTCCCGCGAGCCTTTTATCCGATCGGTTCATTTTGATTACGATTATTTGCATATGAAGTGCGAATAAAAATGGTGAATATAAAAAAAGCACACCCATAGATGCTCACCTTACCGTGGTCGTAGTATTATTATCCATTATCCATTCAAAATAGTAATTCCGCTATTGGCAAATACATCAAAAATCGGTATATCACGTCCGAGGTAATTATACATTTGGTGAATATAAAAAAAAGCTCACCCATAGATGCTCGCATTACTGTGGTCGTAGTATTATCGGCAATACTATATACCGGAAAACACCGGAAAACAACCGTAAAAAAACAGAAAACAACCGGAAAACACTGGAAAACACCATTTTATACTGAATACCGGAAAACACCGGAAAAACACTAAATACCGGAAAACATCCTAAATACCGGAAAACACCCTAAATAGGTAACCCGGAGCCTGGTCCTCTGTGTGCGGTTTTGGACCAAGTGAGCGCCGATGAAGGAGGGTCAAAGTCCTTACGATATTCGTTTTACAAATAGCCCCCCCCCCCCAAAAAAAAATAAATAAAAATTTCCGATTTTTTTTCACTAAAATTTTGTTGATGCCTATTATGTTTTGAATGTTTTAAAAGACGTAATCTGTCTACCTCCATCATTGAACATATTTTATTTTATATTTTAATTTTAGTTTTCAGTAAATTTCAGTAGATTTCAGTGTTTCAGTATTTCATTAGATTAAACACTGTCCTCTGAGGGCCCCATTATATGCCGGTTCCGCCGATCTCCTGGTTCTTACCAGTAACGGTGGCATCAGGGTGGTACGAATTAGTGGAAGGCACGACTAGGCCAACCCCTCCCTAGGTAACAAAAAATCGAATCATAAAACAGCAAGTATCATCAAAAGCAAGTTAATAAATCTCTGAATAGTTCGAGTTGAAGTTCCAGGTTTAAATGCTATGTGTCCTAATCACCAAACGAAATGGATGCCACGCAATTCTCGGACAGGCTGTAATCTGAAAAGTGTTTATCCTTTCCAAGAGCTATCCATCTCGTTGGAAGGGCTAAAAATCTACTTGTTTCTGAGCTTACTTTCATTCCAGGGTCAAATATAATCACTTGAACCATAATAATATTCAACATATTCCATCATATTCCGAGGGCCGCACACAGGATTTTTTTCTGGATTACTTTTCGAGCTTTTTTCCCCAACTTGTTGACCAGTTTTCCTTGAGAAAACCCCAACTTTCGCCCAATTGTCCATGAGAAAACTACATAATCTATCTTACTGCATTGACGGGAAGTGGTAAGCTGGACGTCTGTGAAAAGGGTTGATCGATAAATTTTCAAGGAAGCAATTGTTGTTTTTGTTTGTGAAATAGAGGACTCTAGCCGATGAGGCTACTTTCCCCCCCACCCCCCCGAGAATCTCAGGCAACCAATTTGTTTTATGTACTACTATCGTAATAAAACATTACTATTTTAACCACTTCCTGGTGGCTGAAGACTTACACCGAATGCGCATTCGGAAAAAAATGTCCCCGAGAAAATGTTTTTTCCGGATCGATATTCGAGATGTCTTCTTTTGCACAAATTATGCTGCACTGTGTAAGAACTTGCATCCTTTGATCTGAAGATTGTAGATGATAAGTATCATTTGCACTATTTCAAAGTAAACCTGCATTTTCGTATATCATCCCGTAATTTGTGATTAAAGACAATGACTGTGGAAATAATATGGGTTGAGGAACGGAAGATCTATGTTCGTCACGTGACTGGACAATTTCACCCCCGTCCCACCCTGACGATGATCCCTCCCGGAGCGGCGCGGCGCGGCGCGCTCTCTAAAAAAATCTCGGGCACAGTTTACTCTTCTGAGTTTTCTGGTAGCTATTTAGTAACCCGGAGTTTGGTCCTCGTGTGTGGTTTTGGACCAGGTGAGCGCTGATGAAATAAGTTCATTAACACACAAGCGAGCGATCGCCTACGCTCAAAAAACAAATTTTTTTCAGATTTTTTTTTAACAATTTCTTCTCCTAAATTTCTCTCAAAAAAAACTTCAAATTTTTTTTCCAGTATTTTTCTCTGTAAAATTATTTTCTACGGAATGTTTATTTGTAAAACCAATTTTTCGGAAAAATTTGAATTTTCGTTTTGTGACAGAAATTTTTTTTCGTCAAAAAATTTTTGGAGAAAAAAAAATCGGAAATTTTTTGGGTGGGGGGTGGGGGAGGGGGGGGGGGGGATATTTGTAAAACGAACATCGTAATGACCTTGACCTTCCTTCATCAGCGCTCACTTGGTCCAAAACCGCACACAGAGGACCAGGCTCCGGGTTACCTATTTAGGGTGTTTTCCGGTATTTAGGATGTTTTTCTGGTGTTTTCTGGTATTCAGTATAAAATGGTGTTTTCCGGTTGTTTTCCAGTGTTTTCCGGTTTTTTCCGTTTGTTTTCCGGTGTTTTCCGATGTTTTCCGGTATATAGTATGGCCCTAGTATTATTATCCATTATCCATTCAAAATAGTAATTCCGCTATTGACAAATACATCAAAAATCGGTAAATCACGTCCGAGGTAATTATACATTTGGTGAATATAAAAAAAAAACACATCCATAGATGCTCGCCTTACCGTGGTCGTAGTATTATTATCCATTATCCATTCAAAATAGTAATTCCGCCATTGACAAATACATCAAAAATCGGTAAATCACGTCCGAGGTAAGTATACAGTTGGATAGCCGTAAATCACATCCCATTCGTTCGTTCGTTCCTGGAGTTTTACGTCCAACTCCACCTGAGGTGATATCGTAAACAAGTCACACACATCCCACTACTACTACTAGCTGTTGTTTTAACATCGGCTTCCACAGAAGTGATATCGCAGACAACCACACATCCCAGGTAATGTATCTTCTTAAAGTCACAAATGAATTAAGTTCCACCTGTAGACGTCACAAACAGAGAAGTCAACCCCGCAAAGTAATTTTGCACGACGATAATCTCGTGAGACTTCTTACTGGCACCAAAAAGTCGCTATCTGTAAGTCTCTATAGACAAGCTGACGCCCATTTTCAAACAGGTCACACAGGGCTAACCATGGCACGCCAGATGACGCCCATCGCAAGAATATTTTCTTTCTCCTACTAGCACAACCATTGTTTCTCATACCCTTTCAGTGCT